GGAGGGGTGAGGAGAGTACCATAAAAAAATAATTTCTACTCTCTAACCAAAAACTAGAAAATATTTTCTAAAAAAGTTTTTCACTCACCAACCAAACAAGAGAAAATAAGTGATAAAACCACTCATTTTCCATGAAAATAATTTCTATGAAAATATTTTCCACGGAAAACATTTTCCTTTGTAACAAACACACCCTATATATCAACATTTTGAATATTATACGAATCTCTTATATATCTGGGTGAAGCTATGATTAGAGTAGAGTTTCAATTATTGGTTGCCAACTAGGAAAAAACAAAAAGGCGATTAAGCATATGCAATTAATACAACGAAAAAGGGTTCAAAATGCCCCTAAACTATTAGAAAATGTTTAAAAATTCCCTTCATCTACCTATTGGGCTAAAAATATCCCTCCATCCACTTTTTTGGTTCGCTTATGCTCTTTGACCGTTAGGTCAATGCTAAATTAAAAATAATTATTATTCTTTTTTTAAAACATAAAAAAAATTGCAAAATATTTTTGTTTTTTTTTAAACTAATGCACCAATAGTCCACTAATTTAGTAAAGTCTTCTACTTTTTTTTCATTTTTACAAAAAAATTCAGTTTTTACAAAAAAAATATTTTTTTTTCAATATTTTCTGTAAAAACTAATTTTTTTATTTTGTAAAAACAGAAAAAAATGTTTTTAATAAAATATTTCCATTTTTTAAAAACTGAAAAAATATTTTCAACAAAATATTTTCGTTTTTGAAAAATATTTTTTTTTTCATTTTTTCAGTTTTTGTAAGGCATTTAGTTTTATTTTCGTTTTTCATTTTTTTAAAGAAAAAATATTTTTGTTTTTTTAAAAAAAAACTGAAAAACTGAAAAAAATAATATTTTTCGAAAACAAAAATATTTTAATAATTTTTTTTTTCTCTTTTTACAAATTTTTTCCAGCTTTTACAAAGAAATGCTTTAAAAGAACTGAAAAAAATGAAAAAAATATTTTTTGTAAAAACTGAATTGTTTTTTGTAAAAACTGAAGAAGAAGAAGAAGAAGAAGAAGAAGAAGAAGAAGAAGAAGAAGAAGAAGAAGAAGAAGAAGAAGAAGAAGAAGAAGACTTTACTAAATTAGTGGACTACTGGTGCAATAGTTTAAAAAACGAAAATATTTTATAAAATATTTTTTTAAATTTTAAAAAAAGAATAAATCCAGCATTGACCTAAAGGTCAAAGGGCATAAGTGAACCAAAAAGGTGGATGAAGGGGTATTTTTAACCTAATAAATGGATAAAGGGTAATTTTAAACCTTTTCCAATAATTTAGGGGCATTTTGAATACTTTTGGTTTGTTCAACATTTCTCGGTTCATCAACTTTACAAACAGAGAATACTCTGCGTGCACCATTTCTGTATGTTGGAATTATACAGAACCAATGGCGGACCTATAGTGTAACTACTTGATGCTCACGCACCCATTTTGCTTTAACCAAACACTACTACATATGTACTAATAATTGTAGATATGTAATTTTTGACTCTCTTAAGATTTTAAACATTTTTAGCGTAAAATATTTAGTTTAGGTTTAGTATCTCTATTTTTAATGGCTTTGACTCTTTTACTTCATTTATCATAAAAAAATGAAAATTACAAAAAAAAATATATTTTCTTTTCTTTAGCTAATTAATAGTTTATCTAGTTACTTTTAATTTATCAATCTTATATAAAATTCAAAAATACAAAAAGAAAATAGTTCCAAGAATATTATCTTAATTTTACAATGATTTTTTCATTTTTTATCTTTTAGTATGATATTTTTAAAAAATACCAAAAATATGTTTGTTTTAACGGATAGTTTTATTTTAATTGTTATTTTACTTAAGTAGGATTAATTAATAAATGGTGTAGTATTTTTGGTCTTATTTTAGAAGAAAGAGTATGAAATGTGGGGCTAATTTTGTTTGTCCTTCGTCTCGGCAATATGGAACCTCTCAACAGCTCCCGTTCTTTTATGGGGTCCTATCGGGATAGGTAGGCCCAAGCCTTTCCCCTCCCCTCTCCCTCCATAAGACCCTCTTTCTCTTTCCCTCTCGGGGAGATGGAATGAAAGAAGCAATGAGAGAGCCTAATTCCCTCCTGACCGAGTATAAGCATGTTCCATTGGCCTTTAAGTCTTAATTGAAAAAAAATCCAATTTGGGATAACCCAAAACATTAAGCCCAGACCCATTCCGCATTTGACCTAACCTAATTACTACCCCGTAAAATAACACTTAACACCTACAATCTAGAGGACCCCCAGCCGTGACCCCTTTTCCCCATCTTCAACACAAAAGACAAGCATCAGCATCTGAGAAAAAACGCTAGAACCTAATTCCCAAAATCCCAGCACCTGACCTCCCTTCTTCTAAAATAAAAGATGTCAAAAACAGGGGAGGAATATGAGAATGAGAATTGGAAAAACCAAAGGAGGCTTTGAGGAAAGAAACTAACGACACCGAGGAAAAGAAAGAAAGAATTTGAGCTACATATTAGAATTCTTTCAATTATATAAGGATATTCATCTGGAAAAGAAATTAGGTGCTTGCTCTTGTGACCAATGATATATTAAATTAAGGAGACGAGTTCAACTCCAGTCTGTTGCTTCATATTTTTCTCAAGAGTGGGATCGTTTGGTTGGTTCGTTGGGCGTGGGAAGGTCGGACAACTTGGTATTAACGAGCTTCTTCTTCTGACTTTCAATTTTGAAACCATGGAATCCAATGGAGTTTGATTGAAGCCGTGTTGGTTTCGGGCTTTCCGACCTCGATTCGAGGTTCCGGTTTGTAATTTCGGTAGCCCGATTAACTTGCAATTTTCAGCTTTGTTCATCAATAAAGGTCCTTTCTCTTGTTCTTTACTTTGTTCAATAGCTTCACTCTCCTATTTTAGATTTATAAAAGGCATGTGATATTTTTGCTATTTTCCAGCCCTTCCGTGTTTCTTTGTAAAATTGATGGACATGTTAGATTTTATTCTTAAGTGGTAATGTCACGCACGGTTTAGAATTTGGATGTTTAGTTTATTCTCATAATTTTGTTAATTTAGTACTTAATGTTTGAGTGATAGATAATTTAATGAATAGAGCTTTCATTTATATAGGTTTGATTTGGAACTGACTAATTAAAATGTGTATTCTTATTCCTTCCAAAGCTTTAAACTCACCTTTTGCACTAAATATTTATTGATAGTTATCATTATGTGTTTATTTGAGTTGTCTAATTGTTCATCTGTTGTTAGAAAGGAATAAAGAGAAGTTCTTTTCATGGGGTCAATGACTTTGTTATATAATTTGGATTTAGTACGTCCCTTTTAAGTGGCAATTGAATCTACAAGTGTAGACAACTTGTGAATAATACTAAATAGCTAAGTTTTACACTTCTTTCGGAATTCCATATTCATTAATCAAGGACTTCACAAACAATATCAAGCAAGCTTCGGAAATAATCACTTATAAATACATCGTAACTTGCTTTAGGCGCGATTAATAAATCATCGTGACTATGGATATGGTTCTCGTGACATAGTTATGATACTTAATTCCCAAATTCGGGGGTGCATTTCATGTAACCCGATCATAACAACTTTGAATTTTAATAAAAAAATAAACATGTGGCGAATCGCGGGTGCATTTCATGTAGCTTGGTTTGCGGCGTGTTCCAAAACGGCAAGTGTACGACAATCATAACTTGTTCAAGAAATAATTCCATAAATCCTAAAAAAGCGGTTTAAAATAATTAAAAGCGGATATAAAGTTAAAAATGCACAATAGGTTTAAAACATGTAATAAATCAGATAATAGGCCAATTATTAATAGTTTAACCGACTGTGCTAGAACCACGGAACCCGAGAATGCCTAACACCTTCTCCCTGGTTAACAGAATTTCTTATCTAGAATTTCTGGTTCGCAGACTTTTAAATAAAGTCGAAAATTTCCTCGATTTGGGATTTAAAATAAACCGGTGACTTGGGACACCATAATAAATATCCCAAGTGGCGACTCTGAAATAAATAAAAATAATCCCATTTAGAATAATGTCACTTTAATTGGAAAAACTCCGTTATATCCCCTCGGGTGGTAAAAAGGAGGTGTGACAATAATAACATACAAAAACATTGGCGGCGCAGCCAATCTCAAACCGCTTCGAGATTTAAGGCAGTTGAGCACCCACAACTTAAAAATACTAGGTGGAGAACAAACACAGTTGTAGTTCAGCCTCTCCTAATTGAGCTACACTTTAGTCCTACAGCACGTTCTATACATGTCGATATGCATACATGTAAAAGAGAAACCACAATGATCGGATTGATTGTGCTCAAATTCTATGTCGTTTTAAGGAAAAAATGGAATCACTATCTCTTAATTTGCTTTTTTTCTACCTTTACAGCTCGCAGTCCCAGTTCATGATGATAGAGAACAAGATAGCAAGCGAGTACTTTTGGTCACTTCTACTACCGATTAAGAGCAAAAAAAATCTGCCAAGACCTCGTGGACCAAATCATTAAGAACCTCAAACTCCAAGTCTAATGCCAACTCTTCTTTCTCCTCTTCAAACTTGTAATTCCATCTCCCTAGTCTTTGCATATCCCTTATATAGACCTCCCTTTTGTCCTCTATCTCCCACTCAAATTCATCATTGTACTCTCCATTGTTCAAACATTTAGCTTCTCTCATTAACATTTCACTTTCATCAACATTGTTTTGAATCAGTTCATGCCAAAAGAAATCCAACAAAAGCTCATCATCCACATTTGTCTCACAATCTTCCGTCCACAAGTTTTCAGTTTCTTTGAAATAGCATAATAATTTCTTTGCCTTTTCTTCAATCTCATGCATTTCTTGTTCTTGTTCTTCTTCATCCTCCTCGTTATAGCTAGTGTTTCCTTCTTCTAGACTCTCAAACGCTTGAATTCTTTCCCGGAGCATGCACTTTCTTCCTGCAATATATATAGTGACAAATTAATCATCACCGGCTACAAAATAACTGGAATTAGCTACGAATTTCATCGCTAATTATATCGTTAAATCGCTCGTAGCTGACAGAATTTCTTGATAATATATAGCAAATCTGTTGCTAAATAGGATTAGTGGCGAATTTTTATGTTTGGCTATAGAATTTATCCGTTGCTAATTCCTTTCTTTTAGCCGATATCGTCATAACACGTACTTCCTCATAGAAAAAAGATAATTTGAAGGTGTTAGAGGTAATTTGAATAGTCGTGCATGCAAGTTGACCGAACACCACTGTAAGAGTTTTGACTTTTCTTACACTAACTCTCAAAAGAATTTTTACACAATCAAGTTACTTAAAATATAACTGTGGATAACCACCCAAAAAAATGGATTTATAATCTAAAAGTAAGACGGGTACCTACTACAAATAAGTTAAATACTTTGTCCAGCTGTCCTTGTATAGAAGCTAAATCGTTGAGTGTACTTGGAGATCGAAACTTACTATCAATATCAACGAGGGTCCTATGGTAAGAAACGTATTCGTCCTGATCTTCACGAAATGGAGATTCAAGAACTGAGACTGGACTGTGCTGCTCGTTCTCATAGTGTTCCTGTTACACAATTCCACCATATATTATACACAGATTAGATCCTAGATTCAAATTTCATCATCACCCTTACGAGCAATCTATCCCCTTCCCCTTAAAGAAAAATAGGACAATTAATTCTGTCAAAATAATTAAATAGATTGTCCTATACATATCTTTGAACTAGATATCATCATTAGTCGAGATGTTATTTACTACTATATAGGACTGTATGATGAATTAACAATAAAACCTAATTTTATTAAGTTAGTTAAAAGATAGAGACATTATAATTTATATATTGAAGCCACGTCAAACTCTATATGAGGCTGAACAAAAGCTGACAAAGCAGTATTCAATTTATTTCAACACGGACGCAAAAGTTCATGCAATATGATGGTACTCTCTTCATCTTCGTGTCCTGATTATTTTGTACACGTCCTTTAAGAAAAAATAATTTTTAATTATTTTACCTTTATTAAATATTTTTTTAATTTATGTGTCATATCTATCAATGACAATATTCATATTTTTACTAAATATGAATGCAATTAATACATTAAAGGTAAAAAAAACGTATATAATCAATTTTGTCTTGAACTTCTCTAAAATGATAAATAATCCGAGATAACTATTTTTAGTAACTACGACACATATTATGAGATACAAAAGTACGATATTACTAATAACAAATCGATTAAAGCAATTTAGTATATTTACAAAAGAAGAAAAACTCCAAAATTAAATTACCTCGGGGTCCAATTTGATTCCTCTTGTCTCTCTGGCGCAGTAACGACCGACACCTTCTTCAAGTAAATTCTTTTTATCATAGCATTCATCACTTTCACCACACCAAGAAGATAAATTCTCAGCAGTAAAATCACCGTCACACCTAAAGGGTGAATAAGCATAATCTAACGGTGTAGATTTCTCCTCCACTAGGTCCTTAGATGATTTCCACCGTAAGATATCTTTGACTTTGACTTTAACTGTAACTGAGACCTCATGGTTCATAATATAGTTTTCAGTCTCTTTGTGATTTCTTCTTGACAGTTTTCTCGAAATGCTTCTAGGTAAAATGGACGGGGATTTAACATAGGCAAATGGCAAGAACTTAACAATGTTAATGACCTTGTGAATGGCGGATATAGTAGCTGAAGCAGCTCTAGATGATCGACTTCTATGTAGTTGAGATGAATTTTTGTTAAAAAATCTTTGACTTGTGGATTTATATGCTTTTTGAGATTGTGATTGAAAACTAATATCGTCTTGGAGGAAATCTTTAAGCAACTTTGGTCGACTCTCGAATGAAAACTTTGCATGTGGATTAGGACATGAAGAAGCCATGGCCACAACTCTTTTTTGAACTTGAGATTCAATACGAACAATTAATCGAGTTTACAGCCTTTACTTCGTATAAAACACGAAAATGCAAAAATGAGGGCGATTGGGAATTGGGCTCTTGCTTTCTTTAGGTTGCAATTGTGGAGTTGAGTTGAAGGAGAGAGGGAAGCTATATGCAAATATATAAAAGGAATGGTTCTGAAGCTGAAAAAATCAATGCGATGAATCTAGAGAAAAAAGACAAACCACACGTAGAAGCATGGATGCTTCTAATAACTAGGATCTTTGTTTAGTAGTATTATATTAAAGAGGTGTTCAGTAGGTCGTCATAATCAATTCAAAAACTCAAGAATTTCAGGATGTGACATAATAGTCAATAAATTACAAATTGTAAAAAATTAGGATTCATATATTAATAGGGGCGGAGCTAGAGCAAGACCTACGAGTTCGGCCGAACCCAATAGCTTTTGTCGAAACCACGTATTTGTTTTAAGAAATTCATCGAACATATATAAAATTTATTACTAATTTAGAACCCAATAACTTAAACAGATTAGATTTTCAAACCTATAAATTTCAAATCTTGACTCCGTTTCTATAGATCAACAAAGACAAAAAGTGCCTTGGTGAATTTTTGCTACCATTTTAAGTTTTAGTGGATATAGTTAGAACTTACGTCCTACTTATGCTTGTGAAAGATAACAAATATCAAGAACATACAGTTAAGATATGTGCAAGCTGACTTGAATACCTAATTATTAGAAGATAAAAAAAAGTATTATAAAAACCTAGGTTTATCGTGGTATAGTATTTGTGTGTTTGAAGGATGTCGGAATTGAGCAAAAAAATCAGAGATTTGACTGACTTCGTATTTACAGTCTATATATCAGCAGATTTTTTCTTGTCTGATTGTGGTTTCCCATCACATGTAAAGAGTCGAAGAAATTACTACCGGTCTTCATTATCAATCGTGAAAGATTACATATAATATAATTTTTTTAGTGGAAGTTTAACCGGTGCGCACAGAGTGCTCACCCGAAGGGCAGAGGCTGTAGCGGATGTGGGTTTTTCTGATGTTTCAAAATTTTTTTTACATATAATTTGAAAAGCATTAATTTGGGAAATTTAGCAATCCAACCTTTATTAAATTTTAATGGCTAACTAACAATTTAATTATCTTTAAGACAATGAATTTTAAAATAAATTTTGCTTGAAAAGTATGTCGGCTTGTTCACTAAGTATGTGACATACCTTGATCCCAACTAGTAGAATCTTAAACAAGATGATAGTGCTTCATTAAGCACTGATGGCAAGCTAATCTAATGTCTTTAATTACAGATTTGACTTTGCTAACTTTGACGGTGTGTTTTGTCCTTTTGTCAATTAAAATAGGGGCTTAAATTAAATAAAATAAACATGGAGATGCAAAAACTATTTGGCTTTTGGACCATAGTAATTTTCACGAAATGTGGAGAAGCATGGAAGACGATATGTGAGAGTTATGGACCAAAACATATTTGTATTTGGTGCAACTAACTAATGTGACGATACCCCTTTTCAACTAATGTCGAACAACTGGACAGGTAAAATAGTTTGTAATATATATATATATTTCTAAATTGAAGTATCAATTTTTTTGACCTTAGGAATGGATAACTTTTGTGCTGGAAAGTATTTTACTTCTTTAGTGGACATATTCATGCGAATTTAAATTAATTAAATCAATAAATTTCGAACTGAATAGTTAAACCGGAAAAAAACTTAAGCGTATAATCACAAAATGAAATCAACCTTGTCGCATCCTACCTATCATAAGTGACAAATACTCGTAGGATTATGTGCACGTGCAGTTTGGTGTCTTCCTAGATATTTGAGGCCAAGTTGGACTAAGGCATCCAATGTTTCTGTGTTCGTGATAAGAAAATTTCACCAATTTATTACTAACAGGTCTGTCAAATTTTTACTTACTAGCCTTTATTTCACGTGTCTTCGCACGTGTAACCTCAGCAATTATTCTAAAATTTTCATTTAAAGATAATAAATTTTAATTTATAACTAAAATCTGTGTCAACTTTTTTTTATAGTTTTATATATATATATATTCAAGCTATTACTGTATTAAAATTGATAAAGACAATAACTTGATAACGATATTAGATAGGAGTATCAATTTTTCATGTCAATGCAAACTTTAGTTTTATAACAAAATCATGGTTAATTTCAAAGTTCTAAATTAATTGGATAATAATTTAATGATAATTTATCCAATATGAAATTATATTTTAAATGATAATTCATGCTGGATATTTTGCTTCAAGTTTACTTGCAAACTCGCAATAGTTTCAGCTTCATCTTCCCCAATTCGATAACCTGATGTTTTTAGAAAATAAAACTTTCTTCCATCAGAAGAGTTGAATCTGGTATTATATATCGATGAGATTATATTCACCTCGTTCTTTGTCCCTATAAACATCTACTTCTTATTTGAAATGGTGAAATAAGTTTATAAAAATGGGCAATTTACTTTTATTCAAAATGAAATTTATTTGCGATGGAAATTCCTTTACAAACTTAGATGACAAAAATTGAATTAATTAGTAACACTGTGAAGATATAGTTTCCGCCAGAATCCTTTCGCCACTTCCTACTTTTCCTAAACAAGGAAAGAAGAAATTAGCCCTTATATACTCCTAGTAATTTTTTTTTTTTTTTTTAAATTATTCATTTGAATTATCTTTCTCTAATCCATTTACTCAACAAATTAACTCGCTGTGTACAGGTAAAAACAGGGGCAATGTCTACCCCGATTCCCCGAGGAGAGAATGGATCTGCGAGATTGTAATCGAGGTCAGAGACACTTTGTATCGAGACCCAGGAAGAGTGAACAATATATCCGACATCGGATATGGTAAAGCGATGCGTCTCAGGCCGAGTATAAGTTCTAGACCTTGGGAGACATGGTGAACGGTTATGCATGGCGAAAAGAGTGCCGTAGTACTTGCCCTCAACCAGATATCACGATGAAAATCTCCCTCAATGTCGATTATGGATCAACAATTACCGAAAAAGGAAGATTTTTACCTTTTTAGACTTATACTCGGACTGAAACTCTCCTACTACATAAAGAGAAAGTTTTTCTTTAGTTTGACACATTGTTATACGCAATTCAAAACAATAGAGATTTACTTTTGTCTTCTATCTGCTGTTAAAGGCATCATTCACTTATTCAATTCTTTATCCGCAGCTGGGCTTGAACCGAGGGTCCAATCGAGGGAGAGCTCATTATTCAATCTAAGATCAGTCTTGGTCTTAACATTGCGATTTGTTTGATCGTTTATTTCATCTTTAATTCATTTATCTGTTATATCTTAGTTATTCATGTTGAATTAAACCACGTTTCTTTTAAATCGCATACAAATTTAATTGTTACCTAATTTTGGGGTAAAAGGTTTGGCGCCCACCGTGGGGATAAGGATAATAGTGGTGATTTGATATGGATCTCTATAGCACACCCTATTTTATGCTTGTTCTTTGAAATATTATTCCAGGTCATCCTAAAAATGTCAAACTCTCAGTCGGGTCACTTGAATGTCGACGCTGAATCAGGCCATCACGGCGAAAATAATAATGTAGGGCCCAGTAATGATGTGCTTCCTGCCGATCCCAACAGTGTTCCATCTGCCGACCCGATCGATGCTAACTCTAGGTGGCCATCAACATCAATTTGCCAACTGATCCCGAATACAGTGTTTGTGGGGGACTCCGGTCAACAACTCGAGAAGCGCCCGAAGGTGAAGCTGATGGGGGACCCCGGTCAACAACTCTGAACTGCCTACATATCCCTGCTTTTACAGGAATCAGACTGTGTGTAGTTCTGGACCCAACAGTAAATGAAACCGATGGAATTGTTATAAGAATAGTCATATGTTTCCGAAAGGGTTCTTTTAGGAAGGATAGTATCGGATGGATTTATGCGGAGTTATGAATGTGAATCTGAAGCGTAACGAATGTATCACCGGGCAGATATCTGAACGGTTATAGAGTAAAGGCGAGTAATTAATGGGAGTCGGTTATGTTCGGAATAATGGCTGGGTGTGAATGATATGAGCGGAAACCGGAGCGAAGGTTGCTCATGTTTGAAGAATGGTTAACTCCTGAATTACCTGCAAAACTTAAAACACGATGCCTGCAAATATATATGGATTATTGCGAGAATTTAAACATGATGCAGACTCCCTTTGGACCATGAAGGTTGTCTTTGGACAGTGAGGATAATGTCCTTAGACCATGACGTCCTGGGCCATAAATCATGAGATAAGGGATTCGCATGGCATGAAATGATGTTCTCGGGCCATGAAAATGGTGCCTCCGAACCATGATTCCTTTGAATAATGATGTGCAATATTGAGAGATCCTCAGGCCATGACATGGTGTCTTCAGGCTATGAGGATGATGCCTTCGGAATATGACACCTTCGGACAGAGACATGGTGATGCATCATATAAGAAGAACAAGACAGAGCTTAGTCTTGTATAGGATTGGGATAGAGCTTAGCCCCGGAGAAGGTGAAATAGTGCTAGGCTTTAGATAGGGTAACGTTCGGTCATTAGACAAGGAAATGCAGAGCTTAGGCTTATGCAGATGGGGAGGCAATGCTTAGCCTCATGCAAGAAAGGGGAGACAGTGTTTAGTCTCATGCGAGGAAAGTCAGTGCTTAGTGTGAGCACGTGATTTTTGTTTTACGCGACAATCACTCCAAAAAGAAATAAAAATAATAACAA